GAGCGTGACGTGACGGGGCATGACGGGACTTTCAGGATATTTATACATGTTTTGGGTTGTATAAATATAATTATGACTTACGCTTCCGCTTATGTTTTGATGACTTGTGATGATGTTTTGCTATCTTTCGACGTACGCTTTTGACGAACTCATCACTTTGACGAGCTTTTAAGAAAAATAAAGTTTTCAGTAACCGGACGTTTTATTAAATTAAAATAACGGTTTTAAAGTTAAGTCACGATTTTTCACGGTAGCACCCCGAATCAGTTTTCGCAAAGTAAAAATGTTTTATTTTCACAGACTTTGCGAATTATTGCGCTACTCTGATTTTACAGTAAGGTGGGGTGTTACAATTGGTATCAGAGCCACGTTTCTGTGTCTAATAAGTTTTTCAGTCAGTAATTTTTCAGAAAACCCGAACCGTCATGCTCACGCCCCGCCGACGACAGGTAAGTGCTGGTGCAATTCAGTTTTTCAGTTATAAACATATTACTTTGTCTATGCTCAGAATTGAGGAACAAAACTTTAGTTAAGATGCTCGAATCAGATTCAGACCTTAGAGTTTGGACATGACTCTAAAATTCAGGCATTCAGATATGACTCTAGACGTTAGGATCTTCCGAGATGACTCTAGAGTTCTTCAGGTTTCATGTCAGTATTTATCGGCCATTTTTGGCAACTCGTCAAGAGATCTGTGTGCCTTAGTAATCAGTCAGTAATGCTATCGCATATTCAGTAATATTAAATCTTTCTCAACGTTCAGATGCCGCCACGTAGAGAGCCCGATCATCAGGGTCCTACTCAGGCTACGGTAGTCGCTCAGTTCCGCGACTATCATGCAGAAAAGTTTTCAGGACAGGGCGACCCCCGTATCGTTGATGAATGGATTCAGGGGTTGGAGTTTATCTTTGAGGTTATGGAATGCCCCGATAGGTATCGCGTAGTTTGCGCTCAGCTTCAGCTCACTGGCGATGCGAGGCTCTGGTGGAATGCCTACTGGAGCATGCGTCCCGGTGAAAAAGCGAGTTGTACATGGGACATGTTCAAGTATCTAGTCCGCGACAAGTACTACCCTTCTTACTATCGGGCAGAGATGGAGCGCCAGTTCTTAGCGCTTCAGCAGGGTACTCGTACAGTCGACGAGTACGAGCGAGAGTTCACCAGACTTGCAGGTTTCGCACGCACGGAGGCCCAGAGAGCTCAGCGGTTCATTGACGGACTTTACCCAGCAGTCCGTCATAACATTGTGGGACACGGGACACAGACGTATGCACGAGCAGTCTCTATCGCCCAGGAGGTAGACGCTAGCATCAGGAGGGAGGCCGTTCGTGATCGTGCTCAGCCATCTGCCCCAGCTCAGCCAGTTGCAGCTTCACCAGCTCTACCATCTACCCAGCCGCCAAAGAACAATAAGAGGAAGGGGAAAGGTGCCCCGACAGATAAGAGGACCCGACAGAGGCTACAGCAGATTCCACCATGCCCAACTTGTGGTCGACTTCACAGGGGATAGTGTCGTGCTGGACAGGACATCTGTTACTTTTGCCAGGAGCCGGGACACTATGCGAGTCGTTGCCCGAAGAGACTCCAGCAGCAGCCTCAGTGGCCACCACCGCCAGCAGCAGCCACGACAGCAAGCACAGAGACCGCCTCAGCAGCAGCAGAGGGGCAGGCAGCAGGCCAGGGTTTACGCGGTCGATCAGGCAGAGGCAGCACAGCAACCAGGTACAATGTCCGGGATGGTTGTTATCAATGATATTCTTGTGTTTGTGTTATTCGATACTGGAGCAACGCATACCTTTATTTCACGACGGTGTCTCGACGCCATCGGAGTTCATGCAGTTACCGCTGTCGATCCTCTCGAGGTGAGTTTAGCCTCGGGACGAAAGATAGTGACTTCAGCTAAAGCTTCAGATCTTAGCCTTTCTATCGGTGGTCGAGTATTGACTGCCGACGCGTTTGTTCTCGAGATGAAGGATTTCGATCTTATTCTCGGGATGGATTGGCTATCTTTCTATCATGCTGACATCAGATGTCATGACCGGGAGATTACTTTCTATCTTTCGGGAGACGAGTCGATTACTTTCTTCGGCTCCAAGAACCGTTCACTGCCTCATGTTGTTTCGATGGCGAAAGCCACTAAGTTATTGCGACGAGGTAACTGCCAGGGTTACCTGGTAAGCCTTGTTGAGGATTCTCAGAACGCGCGGACACCTCATGATGTTCCAATCGTTCGTGAATTCGTAGACGTATTCCCAGACGAGCTTCCAGGAGGACCGCCCAACCGTCAGGTGGAGTTTTCCATTGATCTTATTCCAGGGACCGGTACAGTATCTAAAGCCCCATATCGCATGGCGCCTAAAGAGTTACAGGAGCTTAAGACTCAGATTCAGGAGCTGTTACGACTCGGTTTTATCCGACCGAGTGTGTCACCGTGGGGAGCACCCGTTATTTTTGTTAAGAAGAAGGACGGATCTATGCGCATGTGTATCGACTACAGGGATCTCAACCGGTTGACGATTAAGAATAAGTACCCGCTTCCCAGGATAGACGACTTATTTGATCAGTTGAGGGGAGCCTGTGTATTTTCGAAGATTGATTTGCGATCAGGCTACCACCAGCTGAAGATTAAGGAGTCAGACATCGCTAAGACCGCTTTCAGGACTCGTTACGGCCATTACGAGTTCGTAGTCATGCCTTTCAGTCTCAGCAATGCGCCAGCAGTGTTCATGGATCTCATGAACCGGATCTTTCATCCCTACCTCGATCAGTTCGTTATTGTCTTTATTGACGATATTCTTATCTACTCGAAGAGTCAGAAGGAGCATGAGGAGCATCTGAGGGTGGTTCTCGAAACCCTCAGACGAGAGAAGTTGTACGCCAAATTCTCCAAATGCGAGTTCTGGCTTCAGCGAGTATCTTTTCTGGGTCATGTTATTACCCAGGCAGGCATCGAGGTGGATCCTTCTAAAGTTTCAGCCGTGCAGAACTGGTCGACACCGAGGAAGTCGCAGTTTTCTCGGATTAGTTGATTACTATCGCAGGTTTATCGAGGGCTTCTCTAAGATTGCCCTCCCTCTTTCCCAGCTGACGAGGAAGTCTGTGAAGTTCGAATGGACTGACAGATGTGAGGAGAGCTTCCAGGAGCTCAAGAGGAGATTGACGACAGCACCGGTGTTGACTATTCCCGATCCTTCTCGGAGTTCCACTATCTTTAGCAATGCTTCGAGACAGGGCCTGGGATGTGTCTTTATGCAGGACAGACAGGTCGTTGCGTACGCTTCACGGCAGCTTAAACCTCATGAGCAGAACTATCCTACGCACGACTTAGAGTTAGCCGCAGTCGTTCACGCCCTGAAGATCTGGCGTCATT